CTCTCTATTGTTCTGCGGCATAGCAAGTTCCCCATGTACGAATGTCTTGGTTTTCACACTGATTATGTATCCATTTGTGGGTAACACATTTTTGAAATAAAATGTGGATAAACTCTATTTTGAAACAAAGTTTCTTTTGTATTAAAAGCTCTTATCCAATCATAAGCACTCAAAACAATAGCCAAAAGATGCTTCTAATTTGCAATGTTCCCCACGTAGAATTGCCTTAATATTGAAGCTAAAGAAAGCTTTCATGAAAGCGAAAAACGACATTAAATATAATATTAGAAAATTCGCTAACTTGGGAAATTATAGCAGATTTTCATGTTTTAACCAATGGGATGGATGGATTATACAATGCATTAGCACCTTCTTGCATTCCTGTGCCGTTTGCTTCCCTAGTTCTTACTCGGGGCATTACTTAATACATGAGCTTCCACAGGAAGCCCATGTAACAAGGCCAAACTAATACAGAAAATTGAACTCTGCAAAGTCGCGTAACTCTTCAACACTATTGATCTAGATTAAAGACAATCAACAATCACGTGCTCGACGTAACGGACAAGAGAAACATTTTATTATACAACCCTCTATTTAGTAACAATGTAAAGACTAACATCGACAGAACATTCCTGAAACTGATGTAAAAACAACGTCTTGGACTGGAACTATAAATTGTGCGTACACTTGAAACCCGGGAAAGTTCTCATCGTCGGACTTTAAACACGTGTGATTTCTGCACAGGCCACCCAAGATCGATTATTGTATATTATGAACTCGCGGTGTCGAAAGTGAGCATAATACGTAATACGCAATATTTAGCAATATTGCAAAAAAATGATTTGTTTTTGGCGTGACTGCTCTTTTTTTAAGCGAATTAGGTGAAGGAATCAGTTCTCTGGAACAGGGTCAGGGTTTAATCTCGTAATTGTTGATGCTGTGCAAAAATCTACGAGGTATTCAGTTGCTTGATTTTTTCGAACAGGGTGTCCTTTTCAGCGATTTTCGTTTGTCATGCGTTTGAATTTTAAGGGCAGTACTAACATATGCGTTGGTAGGGGAATTTAGRATTTKTSTAKAATAACAAACGAAAGTAAAATCGCTTTCGTATTGAGGGCTTCCCAAACAAAAATTACACATTTTATGAGGTCATTGTGTGACGTCATCATGTGACGTCATTAATGCTAAAAAATGCGATAATTTTATCAAGAAAAGTGTATTGAATGATTTAAAATCAAAAAATAAGGTTTTTACGATTTTTTTAAATGACACAAATAAGCGAAAAATGTCAATAATTTTCGTATTTTTTAATATTTAGCCAAACCCATGCTTGGTTCTCAGTGAAGAGGAGGCTGTGAAGAACATAACTAATGAAAAGATACGTCCATTTGATGTTTCTCACCGAAGATTATATTTTTTAAATGATACCATACATTTTATGTAAACAAAAACCTTTCAACTGGAAGTAAAAATTTTCCCGCCATGAAAACGCGCGTGCGCCCGCTTCTCCGATTGYCT